TTTTTTGAATAAATGATACCGTTTTAATTCTATCGGATATCCACACACACACACAAGTAAATATATACATAGGAACACTAATAAATCAACAGAATATAGATTTTCTATATTTCCTTGAAAAAGCTTGGGCCAGATTGCTAGGCGAAACATTGGATTTACTTCAAATTAATTCACTGAGATTTTACAAATACATTCTTCCTCTGTAATGTCTTACATCAACTCGGCGCCTAAATACCGTGAAACTATTCCATCAAATTTAGACGTAAGTTCTTATTTAGAATAAACATTGTTTCATGAATATATAACACAGTTGTATACACAATTATAAATATATTTACGCAATAACTTCTATGACATAATGTAACTAATAAAGACATTAAGTAGAATAGATTAATAGATTGGAATTATCACATATGATTCTATTACAAAGTAACATTCCTAATAAGATGATCAAAAATCAAGATGCCAATAATAAAGAAATAATTCTATTCAACTTGTTATTCATTATTATTGTTTCATAAATTAGTTTAATGATTAATGATTACACTTAACACTTTCACAAAAGTGTGATAATCATAGATAAAAGTTCAATTATCTATATTTTACTCAACTGTAATTGATTTACAACACAATACAAATGTTAGTCAGTGTTAAAACGATGAGTCTATTCTTGTATTTAGTTCAATTTTAACATTTTGCATAGATTAAAGTCAAAGTAGGAATATATAAATTCCGACATAAAGTATTTTTTTAGTAGTTGAATTCATGAGCCGATTTAAACTAGAACATCATTAGAAAACCTGGAAGCATTGGATGTCTGTTTCGTCCTAGAATGGGACAACTTAGCAATGCGCAACTACGATCCGGCATGCAGGATTCGAACCTAGTACCTTCCAATGGTGGTCTAGCTTAAATCGACTCATGAATTCAACTATTAAAATAAAAATTTTCCTTACATTTTTATTTTATGTAAATCATCTTGACTGAATGCACTAGTATGAACGTTTTAAAATAAATAAATATTAGTAGTAGCATTAACCACAGATTGATCTCGTTTGAAGAACCATTGAAAACCAAAGAACACGGGACATTTGTTTCATTCTATTATGAAACTCCTTAGCAGTTCATACCCACAAACTACCAAAATCTTCTGGTATCACCGTTTTTATGAATGGATAAATAACAGAATCTTCTTTACAAAATCTTAATAAAATACTAAATGCCAAACATTATATTTGCAGTTTTAGAATTAGTCTTTAATTTAACAAGTCAATACAAAATTATCTAGCTGAATAATAACAATATGGTCATAATTTACCCAAAGTTCTTGTAGAAAAGAAATAGTATGATGTACAGTCAACTAAGTTAAAAGAAAGATAATGGATTATCAATGGTGAAAAATCGAGAGATCAAAAATAATTTTTCGTCATGAAATAATAACAAATATAGAATTATTTTTTGAAAATGCCATAGAACATTGCATAACAGTGTTTACTCCATTCATTTATATTGGTTGTTTAAATCTTTCCATTGATGTTTAAGACTACAACTGATTGTCTCAAGTTCGCTTTAAGTCGTAAGCATCATAAGCAGAGGTGGATGGTGATTAGCAGTAAAATCCAGGTTATACCTCACGTCTTATTCGAGACTCGTCAAGTAGATGTACTTGGAGTTTGAAGTGAACGGTACTAGGTTCGAGTCAACCCTTGGATGTGAATACTTCTAGCTGACAAGTACCAAATAAACGAAATTTGCGTCCAGTAATCTACTGCTACCCATCATCCATCACTGCTTATAGTGCTGGTCCCAATTTGAGAATTCTAACCAGTTTATATTTACACTCCTGCACCCAAGTAGACCTAGGATATTCACGTCATGTGATGAGCATCATACCACCTATTCACTGAGTCTCAGTCAGATTATGTATTATTTTTCAAACTATTTCATCCTTCAACTTCGTTGTTAAATAATCATTTCACTATTTAAATGTATGGTTCTATGTGTTATGTCTGTACATAGATGGTTTGAAATCGGAGCTTATAGATTTTGATTAACAGGTAACAACCTTGAACCTCACTCTGTCTATTCTAGTTTAAATAGATAAGATGGAATCATTGACTGTCACGGATAAAGAATACCTTGAAATCGAACACGCTGATGTTTTTTAACGCTTGATATGATCATCTTAAAGTTTATGGGCTGTTGTGTTCATTACATTTACTCCCTCGATCAATGAAAATAACATAGGCTAAAATTCATCTAACTGCTTTAACAAATGATAAAGCTTTAAATGAATAGTCATACTTAAGGTGCAATAGTAACATAATCCAAGTTTTCTGTTTACGTTCAAGTGGGTAGTTGTGACAGCTAATTTATATATTAAGTTAGACGTGATCAATAGGACAAATGATTATGTGTCAGTATATTGTTATTGATTGCGGAGAATATAACATAATACAATACATCCCAAATTGTGTTAAATAAAAGCTGTTAGTTTACACTTGGATATTTATTAAAAAAATAGTATGAATGAATGTATGATTGTAATGTGGAATAACTATCGGGGAGGTTAAGTTTATTTTTTCACAGTCCCATTTTCATTATGCAAATAAAATACACATGAGTACAGAATGGTAACTTGGCATAATTAAACTATTCTGTTGTACTGAAAGAACTTATAAATGCCATTTTACGATTATTTCTGAATAAGTTATCGATTTAATCCCTTTGTATTTATATTAACTTGAATGAAAAAATAGAAAGAGTAGGAAATAAAAATAATTAGCTTCACAAACGTTTCGAATGAAATAAAAACATCCTAATATATGAAGTAAGTTCTCATCAAAGATCTAAATTAACTTACAAATAACCGACAACTAAAAAAAACCATTTGTGGTCATTTCATTCGAGTTTGAGATTTCTCAACGGTGAACACCATCTTATAAGGTACATGAATTTGTGTTACGATCTTTTATCGTTCATTATTTTTAAAAAAAAAACAAATATAATATCACGATTCAGTTGTTATAAAATAATTCAATATTTTGAGTTTCTGCATTATGAATTGAAATCAAATAGAACAACTATTGAAAACCACGAAGTAGTTGATGGGTGTTTCGTCTCAGTAAGAGACTGCTAAATAGTGAACAATAACAACTCTATTATGTATCAAGAAGAGGATCTTACAGTTTAACAAAGAGTATTTAAGTTTAGGAACATAGAGATAATATTCACTGGTTTACAGTTGTAAATCCAACTAATTCATGAGATTACGTAACCATAATTCAATATTTTTTACATTGCACTTTTGTATTAAGTAACTAAATCGATAAATTTCTGATTATGTAGTTTCAGACAACTTCAAAATTTATGCATTCTACTTGAGTTTAAGCACTTGAACATAAATAACAAGCTCTCATACATAAAAAAACGAAGAGTAACTCAAGGTTAAAAGAACCACCATTGTACTAATGAAGTTGAGTCATGTTAAATTAGTTCTACAATTCATGATAGAAGAAAACATTTTTCTACTTGGTTAAATCCTTTAACCGTATAACAATCACTTTTACTATTCAAATAATATTATTTTAGACGTAACTAGATTATGATGTAATATTCTCTTTATGTAAAACTTTTCTAGGGATTAAAACGTCTATTTATCATAAGAACATATCCATCATATGTACAATAAATCGTACTTTTCCATTTCTAATGTATGTAGTTATAATTCACATTTTGGTAACCCACGATTAAGCTTAAAAAATTAAGTGATATATAAACTACTTTTAAAATTTGTATACAATATATTAGTTTTATTTAAATGAATTTTCTTAAAGTGTTAGATTTTATAAGAAGGGGGTTTTGTGGAGATTTTAGTAATTTTATAGTTGAATTCATGAGTCATTTGTAGCTAGACCATTATGAAAAACCTGGAAGCGCTTAATGCCCGTTTCGTCCTACTTTGGGACTCTTTAGCGGTGCTCATTCACGATCCAACATCGCAAGGTTCGAACCCAGGACCTGTCGGCCTCATGAGTGAACGCCTTATCTCCAACGGTGTTAATATCTAACTTCAACTAATTTACGAAATCGAGCGACACATCCACCATTGTCTTCAGTGAGTTACTACCCCACAACAGACCCGGTTGAATTTCACTGATATTTATTTAGTGAATTTCAACGATTTAGATTTTGTTCAGTTTCATGATGAAAATAAATACTTAATCAAGTATCATTTTTGGTTTGTACTGTAAAGATTAGTTCAAATAGAAGAGGTTATCATTAAGAAAGTGAACATAATATAGTTTCCCTGATTGTTTTCGAATCATAATGAAAATGATTTCTAAAAAGTATTTTAAATTGTTCATATAAATATAAAACATTAAATGGAATATCTTAGATTGTTCCCTAGTTACACGAAAGTGAATAAAATATTCATTTGATATAATCATATATAAATATTGATTTAATTAAATAGAGAAAGAATAATACAAGAGTTTACATAATATGCACATAAGGAAATTTTTGTAGATATAATGGAATATTGTTAATTCTAGTAATCATTACTACGGAGATTCCGTGGCTATTGTTAAATTACATAACTTGTATTATGAATATATCTTAATAAGAAAATGCTTGAAATCTAGGAAATATCGAACAATTGTTTTACCTTAATATGAGAATACTTAACAAATCAAATCCACGAACCACAAAGTATTGAACCTAGAACCTATAACCCTTAAATAACTGAGTTACAATACAACGACAATTCACTTAAATGACTTCATTTAACTACTTATTATATAAAGTTATTGTAAGCTAATTAATTCGAACATTTTCAATTATTAAATGTGAACAATTGTATATACTCAGAATTATATGGAAATATTGTGTTACCATAACCATTCCATTATTCAGTATTTAATCGTATATATATATATATATATATATATATATATATATATATATATATATATATATAAACAAAATATTACTCATACCCATTTTATTCTCTTGATTAGAAAAATCAGCTTCATATTTAATAGCCAATGCAGTCATCATATGTTATCGTTATTTGTTATTGCGTAACTATTTACTATATTTTCTTTTCTTTTTTTAAATAACAACAATAGATTTCGTACAAATGAATCAGTTTTATTATGATGAATGTATAAACATTTAAGTGTATTGTTATATAATTATATGTGTATATCTGTGTATACCTTTTAAAGTATATACATGAAATAAGTAAATTTACTATTAGTGTTCATCAATTCAATTCATATATATATATATATATATGTATAAGTAATTTTATTCTCCACTACTTTATAATTGTTTACAATTAGTTAACTCAATATTGAATAATCGATTGAAGATCCCCAATGTACATCCATATATGTACAATTATATCAATAATAGAAATCTTTTCTTTATAAATCACTGTTTTCTAAATTCAAATAATTGAGAAGATTGAAATTAGATGAAAGAATTCGAATTGTGATAATTTGTGTAATAAATAATTTGATGATAAACCAGTACCTATAAGAATAATATCGATAACAGATGCATGAATTGAAATAAACTAGTCAAAGTATGTCATTGAACACAAAGACTCTTCATTTATTTTCATTCCCCTTATATCGTAGTTTTTTTTCTCTCACTAGTTTTTTTTCTTTCTCTCTCTCTCTTTAGATTTCTAAAGAAAATTATCATAGTCATAATATGCTATTTTATACAAACGAACAAATGCGCTTATTTACAACCATCTTCATAATAGGAATTCCTAAGAATCGACCAATTAGAGTATAGAAAACGCATGATTATACCTGACCAGTTTTATGACTGGTCAAATCGAACGAAACGGCAGAAAGACAGCCGAACCAATGGAACGTAATTTAATGATTATTGTGAATAATGTGGGTATGCATGTTGGTGTGTGTATGATGATACACTATTGATGTCAATAATATTATAAAATCCATGTCCTTCTGTTCGCCTTTTTTTACTAAAAAAGCAAATGACAATTCATGAAGATAAAAAAAGTTGGAAAAAAAACAACAAAAAACTTGGTCTGTTTTTACTTTTTCTTTCTCTGTCTCTACCTATCTCTCTATCTCTCATTCTATATAATTCTGTATAGAAGAAAGGAATTTTGCAAAGGAAAAGGGTATGAAAATTCTTGTGGGTCAGACCAACAATCGAAATTGTGGAGAAGTGTATGCTAATAATTTATGTTTTCTCATAAAAGAGAATAAAAGAGATTTAACAGTAGAACTGCTACTAATACTATTAACATTAATATTATTACTGCTGTCGTCCTAAGACTATTAGTCTACACCTGAGCTCGCTTGTATACACATACACAATATTTGGTAATACTTACACCCTCATATATAAACGTAGATAATCTCAAATGCTAGAACAAAGCAAGTATTTATCATTCCCCAAATCGATTCAAATAATGTTTACGATAATTTTCAAAAATATATTGATAAAAAGTAGTCAGATGTATTTTTCTGCAAGTAAAATCAGTATTACGAGTGACTCCTATTACCCGAATTGAATTGAATTTACTATGGCAGAATGTACTGAAATGTATTATGGGAATAGATTTGAGTGAAAATAAACCGTGCGTTTAGTTCTTCCTATTTACTTGCAGTCTATAAGAAGTCAGTTATCTAAAATTTGCCTTTGTAAATAAGGTTAGAAATATGAAGGTTATAATTGGCATACTTTCCAATCTCTCAGTATAGGCTCTAAATACAACTCATCACGTAGCAATCACTTTCTGAAATATTTTTTACAGTAGTTGAAATGAATACTCTACGTTTTTGGTATCGCGTTGTTGAAATCACTAGACAGCAAGTCTTTCACTACATTTTTCATTTAACTTGACACTCGCCAATAAGATTTATCTGAAGTAATGAAAGAACAGGTTCTCCTTATGGGATCCAAACACTCATTACTCATTGTCCAAGTCAGAGACAACAATAGTGAGATACGAATGCTGAGACTGATCGCCTGTATGATTGAGGTTTTTATAGTGTTTAATCAATGGATACTATTCAATGTGATACGTGCTTTCTTGTAGGTCAAATAAACCCAAAAATTCGACGACTCCTTCCAAGATCGAACCCAGCTGCTCTAGGCCTCGCTACAAGTGTTCGACTTTCGGACCACTGGGCTACCAACTGATAGTCCACACTTCTAACTTCATTCAATTTGCGATACTGTTCGTCCCTCGTTCAATGACAGTAAAGCCTGTTACGAAACAATTGTTTTGGAAATATTCGTATGTCTTTCGGGTCTTCTAGACAAACACAATGATAGCCAGTAGAATGAATCGGCTATTGAATAAAATCAGATGAATTATCATTAAACAAATACTTATCCTAAACCGAAACAACTAAACAAGGTACGGTTGAAAGTAGTTATTCTTTAAGAAGATACAGATGCGCTTAATTAATTCACATTGCTTCCCCTCTCTCGGAGTTCTAATGAGAAGCCATGACCAGTGGAGCTAATATGTGTCAGGTAGAAACAGGTATCTACCTCAGTACAATGAAAGACGGTCGCGCAATTTCGTGGATTGGTTGAAGTTAGACATTATCATCGCTGGAGGCAAGCTCAGTGGTTTAGAGGTTAAGCGTCAGAGTGTGAGATTGGAGATCCTGGGTTCGAATCCCACAAGCGGTATCATGGATGCGTACTGCTGAGGAGTCCCACGGGAGGACGAAACGGCTATCTAGTGCTTCCATGTTTTCAATGGTGGTTTAGCATCAATTGATTCATAATCTCAATCAAAAACTTACTAACCTCCACAACCACATACAGACAAATCAAAGTTAGATAATTAATTGACAAGCTGCACTTTATTGATCGTGAAATAATTAGGATATGCTTATTTATATCTTATCAATACTTAAGATATTTTCTCGTACATGGGTATAAATCAATAAATGAATAATCTAACATTATTGATAGTAAAACACGATTGGAATTCATCAGTGTATTGACTGTTTATCTGTATTGTGTGAGAATAGATTTTGTATTATTTAATTTAAATTTCATAAACTGAATTAATTATGATAAATGAAGGTTACCAACTTGAACTTTTATTGATCATATAAGTTTTCATTTATCATAAGGATTATATCAGTATAAAAATGATACTGATAAGTCTGTCTGCTTTAATAATGAAATGTTAAGAGTTTATTATTTTTAGTAGTAGTAGTAGTAGTAATAGTAGTAGTAGTAATAATAATAATAATAATAATAATAATAATAGCAGTAGTAGTATTATATGACAGAAAACAAAATATTCTGACATCCTTTGTATAAACTATACATATTAATTATTGTATCATTTACATACATATAGTTAATATTATTCATAAATTACTAATCAAATCTAAAGTTTAAAAAATTCCTATTCTGAATCGCCTTTTACAGTTCAATATAATATACAATGGTTTATAATTGAATGAAAAGTTTTTTATACATTAAATATCCAGAGATGAAGGTTTACTTGTCCAAATGTAGTGTATACAAATGTTATATATATATATATATATATATATATATATATATATATATATATATATATATATGTCAGTGAATATTATTAATTATGAGCATGAACTCATTAGATCTGTTTCATATTGTAATTTATGAATCAGACACTAATCATCCATCCTAATGAAAAATGAGCATAAGATTATATTCATTGATATAACCTTAGTAAATATATTCTATGTATAATTATTTAAAAGTTACTATTTTTCGAATTACTTATTTACGCCTGTTACTCCCAATGGAGCATAGGCCGCCAACCAGCATTCTTCAACCTACTCTGTCCTGGGCCTTCCTTTATAGTTCCATCCGATTCTTGTTCATTCTTCTCATATCTGTTTCCATTTCTCGACGTAATATGTTCTTTGGTCTTCCTCTTTTCCTTTGGCATTGAAGATTCCATGTGAGGGCTTGCGTTGTGACGCAGTTGTGTGCTTTCCTCAATGTGCGTCCTATCCACTTCCAACGCTTTTTCTCGATTTCTTCCTCCGCTGGGATCCGGTTCGTTTTATACCACAGAAGGTTGTTGCTGATAGTGTCTGGCCAATGGATCCGCAGTATTTTGAGTAGACAGTTGTTAATAAACACATATATTCTGGATGATGGCTTTCGTGGTTCTCCAAGTTTCCGCCCCATACAGTAGAACTGTCTCGACAATTGTATTGAAAATTCTGACTTTGGTATTGGTTGACAGTTGTTTTGATTTCCAGATGTTCTTCCGTTGTAGATATGCTGCTCTTGCTTTGCTGATCTGCAGAAATTATAATCTTTTCAGATAAAATTATCTTAGTTCATAAAGGTTTATATTTCGACAGAAAATAGAAATGTCGGAATGGTTTTTAAGTGGATATTATGGTAATTTAATAGTTGAGTTCATGAACCGACTGAAGCTAGACCACCATGAAAAACCTGGAAGTACTGGACGACCGTTTCGTCCTACTGTGGGGCTCGTCAGCAATGTGCATCTAGCTTCAATCGACTCATGAACTCAACTATTAAAAAAGAAATAGTTAAATTATATATAATTATGAGCCATTTAATCTTATCCTGTATTTTTAAAATAAAGTAGTTTGTCATGTTACTTTCATTGTTGAAAAAATAGTTAACTGATAAAATAATTAAATTTTAATCGTGACTAATAATGGAATCCAAGATTTATGTATCGTCCTATTTCAGACCAGATGTACCTACATCAGTTTTAATATCTACACTTGGACTCGAGCCCAATACCTTTTGCTAAAATACTCAATTCTCAATTCATTGACCTACCGAGTTAAATTAGCCACTAACATATGGGACGAACGTGAATTTTATTCGAGGGATTGTGTTTTTATATTGTTAATATTAGGGTTTCCTAATGATTAGTGTCTATTGGCTTCCATCCGGTGAAAATCCACACGTCCCATTAATTTTACAGGAGACCTTAACATCAACAATGGGCAAATGTCAACTCTTACAGATGATGTACATTATATATTTAAATAGATAAACAGATGTATAATTTACCGAAATCCTCAAATCAACGTATTCTTATTTAATTAACTGCATTCATGAGGATTCTTTGTAATACGAAGGTGATGTTTTATATCATGAAATACTGAT